AAGATATTTGCGAGTTGCATATTAACTGAGGGCCGGTCCGTAGCACTGGCGTTATAGATGTTCGCCTAGGGCGCCAGATCTAGGGGGGGCGCTGCGCTGGCAGTTCTGGGAGGGAAAAAAACATTTTTGACCGTTGGGGCTCATCCTAATTTTCGACTTTGATGTAACAATATTCATAATTAAGTAAATGTAACACCCTTTTCACCCCGGTTACACGTTTCATTTGCCCTGTACGATGGGAGCTGTAAGTGATGAAAATGGGGGGTGTTGGCTTATCTGGCGCCCGCAGCTCACAGCCAAAATGCGAGGGAGAGAGGGAGGGTGCACCGGTACCGGCGCTGTTGTTATTAGAATCTGGTGCTAGCTGCTCTAACGGATATAAGAAGAAGATGTTTCTACAATAATGTGGAGGGAGAGTCCTCTCCAGTCAGACTGAGAGGCTGATAACTACAGCTCAGTGAGGTAAAGGACTCTGAGTGTTTAGATAGTTCACTTTAGTCTAAGTTATCTCAGTGGGTCACAAACGGTTTGGTCACAATTTATGTAAACACATATTTCCAAGGCACTCCTTTATAATTATTGGGATAAACAGGTTTGAAATCATTTCAATGTATACTATAGGACAGTAACCAACAATATCCTTTAAAACTGGAGAGATAACAAAAAAAAGCATAAATAAATAAATATTAACTATAAAATAAGATGAACAACACAAATAAAATAAGTTACATTCATTTGTTATTGGCTATGGTAGGTTATTGGTTATGTTCACATACTTATTTGATTACATCCACTTGTCTAAGATGACAACAGAGACTTTCGACTCAAAACCAGCTGTTGACTTGTGGATGCAAGCAGCTAATCGCAGACTCAACCAGAGAGGAAGTAGTAGGCCTACATCATCAGCTACCATGTCTGACAGAGAGGAAGACAGTGAGGAGAACAGTCAGGAGGGTAGTGATGACAGCTTGTAGGATTACTGGTCGTGCTAATGTTGTCTTGTGTTCACCTCTGCATGTGTGTTCTGTGTTCACCTCTGTGTGTTCAGTGCCGTGTGTCTGGCAAATAAAGACCCCCTCAAAAGTTACGGTTTATTTCATTTTAAGGATGAGCACCAAGCAACATCTCCAGGTGCTCCTTTGAGAACCAGGGCAAACAAGTGATGTGCACCCCTGCCTATAGCCGCTTTCACACCAAGTACTTTTCCGTACCTAGTGCCCAGCACTTAGTACTACCCCCAAGGAACTAAGTACAGATCGCGTTCACACCGGAATAAGTTCCCTGAGGGAAGATTACGCAAATGAAGCCGCTGATGTCACTTTTTCTTCTTCTGCTTTGGGTTTACTGGCAGGCCGCAAACAACTTCACAGCGTATACTGCCATCCGAAGTCCCCGGCCAGAAGTCCCCGGAGTTGGGGACTGGCTTCAGTAAAAGCTGCTGGGACTCCGACACCTCCTCATCTCCACCGCTCCCATGTTTTTTTTTGTGTTGCCATAAGTTAGTCTCTCTCCATTGGTGTGCGGGGTTAATGCTAATAATGCTAATGCCAGCAAATGCAATGGCGGCTTCAAAAAACTTTTCCGAGTTTTACGGGGCGTGGTTTGCAATTCGCCCAGCCAATCAGAAATTGGTACTTTTTTCTCCCCAGGATAGTCCCACCTCTCTAGCAGGCACTACAAAGGGGGTAAAGGTTCTCTGAACTAAGTACTCTTTTTGGTGTGAACGCCAAATTCCAGGCACTATCAGAACTAAACGGGAAAAGTACGAATAAAAGTACTCTGGTGTGAAAGCGCCTATTGAATCCCCCTCTGGTTCTTGTGCTGAAAGAGGGAGAAACAGACAGGATAAAGGGTTGTACACACCTATATAGCACACCTATAGAGAACCGCAGTGACGCATCCTAAAACCCGGAAGTAAACTCCTTCCGGTTCCTTCGACAAAAATCCAATGCAATTTCTCCATAGGATTTTGGAAAATAGCTTGAAATAAGGTCTGTGGTTGACACACATTTAAGAAACGGATCACGTTTTGTTCAGCCGGATAATATCCACATGTCTACCCTACTTTTATAATTTTCTAATCATAAATCTAGTCGCCAGAAGCAAAATGCTAACGTTATGCTATAAACGAACTACAGCAGGGTCGCTGCTTCAACGTCACGCCGATTTAAGATCCATATTCAAAAATACAGATTCAAAATTGTACAAGTTGAAGCTTTTGTTTTAACAGTTTGCAAGAGCGCAGGTATTTGCTTTCAAGCAGAACAGGTCAAACAACTGAAATTATGGAACTTTATTATTTGTGAGTTTAACAAAGTATGACAAATGGCATCAGTAACGGATGTGATATGAAGTTGTCTCACATTCTTGGTTGTATTTTACATACAGTATATAATTAGTGTATACATGTCCCGTAAGTATAAAGTGTTCCCCAATTCTGTGCATTCAACCACTATGGGATATGTATGTGGTTAGACAAAACTGAGTTGTTGTGTGTGGAAAGTAACCTGAAGTCACTCTGCAGGCACATTTTGAGGCAGACCAGTTTGTCCATACCAAAAAGGGCAAGACTAGGCTGAGAGCAGATGCTATTCCCACCATCTTTGTGCATCGCCCTGTGGTCAAAAGGAGGAGGGCCCCTGCACCGCGATGCACCCCGGGACCTGTAATTACAGAGCTCATAGCTCATGATCACATCTATAGTGTGAAAGGTGACACAGGTATAATAAGTCTGAAATATTAATAATAAAAGTAATATTTCTTATTTGTAAGTGGTATAATATTTTGAATCTTCGAAAATTAACAGTGCCATGTCTTCTACTTACATTAGTCTCAATGAATGAGGGAAGAAGGGATGAGGAGACTGAGAGAAGGGAAAGTGAGGGTGAAGAAAGAGAGGATATGGCTAGTGAGGAGAGACAGGGAGAGCGGACACCACCCAGCAGCCAACATCCCTGCTCCTCCACCTGCCAGCACCCAGCCAACATCACTGCTCCTCCACCTGCCAGCACCCAGCCAACATCACTGTTCCTCCACCTGCCAGCACCCTGCCAACATCACTGCTCCTCCACCTGCCAGCACCCAGTCAACATCACTGCTCCTCCACCTGCCAGCACCCTGCCGACATCACTGCTCCTCCACCTGCCAGCACCTAGCCAACACCACTGCTCCTTCACCTGCCAGCACCCAGCCAACATCACTGCTCCTCCACCTGCCAGCACCCAGCCAACATCACTGCTCCTCCACCTGCCAGCACCCTGCCAACATCACTGCTCCTCCACCTACCAGCACATAGCCAACATCACTGCTCCTCCACCTGCCAGCACCTCCACCTGTCAGCACCCAGCCAACATAACTGCTCCTCCACCTGCCAGCACCCAGCCAACAACACTGCTCCTCCACCTGTCAGCACCACTGCTCCTCCTCCACCTGCCAGCAACCAGCCAACATCCCTGCTCCTCCACCTGCCAGCACCACTGCTCCTCCACCTGCCAGCACCACTGCTAGATTATTAAATAAATAAAAATATTAGCATAATCGCTGGTAAAATGTACTCAAAGAGCCTCATTTAATATAATTTTTGAAGTACTTTTTTGAGTATGTTCAATATATTTCTACCTATTTTTTCTACTCCGCCACATTTCCTTGACTTTACAGTTGTGTTGTACCTGTACCATTACAATAAAGAAATTCAATTCAATGAAGTGTTTCATTGAATTCATTTATATACTGCTAGGTGTCTTCTTTTACATTTCACCTATTGTGCAAAATCCACTTTTTCATGTCTCTTCTACATCAACGTGCTTTAACCACTAGGTGTCCGTTTCTATCAGCTGTGCACCGTTAGGGTGTAAATACAGCCTATCTACCAATTGGATCAAATATAAAAGTCAGCCGAATTAGTGTTGATACTGCAAGGAGACGTATTGTGTGAAAATAAATCTAAGATGTTGTTTAATTGCTGATATATTTATGATCCCCGTCACGTTTCAGTGTTGGCGGCAGTTCCTCCTGTTTGTCTAGAAGTCTTCTCATCCGGGCTCTATAAATAGAGAACTACGGCAGATATGTAATATTTAATGCAGCCGAACCGTGTATTACAATGCCGTTATGTGATGACTTTCAAAGAGAAAAGCAAGCACACTCGGAATAAAGTATTATTTTAAAAAAATGTTTTCGGATTTCACATCGCATAAACACCATATCCCAACGTGAATTGCGGCTAAACCATCCAATCACCGAGCTGAGGATCTTGCCTACGTCTGTTTCCGGTATTGTTTTTGACGGATGTATTTTGTTGTACACACAGTCCTTCACATTTAAATTTAAATGTCCATTAAAGTATTTTGTGAGGCCTTCTAAAATGTTTTTAAATATAACTACGGTTCTAGTTGAAGAGTTTGTAAATTAACATGAAGCCAAGTTGTTGCCTGGCAACGCAATCGCACAACGTCACGTCCGTTAATTCCACAACCGCACACATGGATTAACATCAACCTGTTAAGCCCCAGGGACCCCCTCGGCGGGTCCTTTTTTTTTCACGATACTGTGTCTCAGCCAGGGGATCTTAATATTTAAGAACCTATTAATGTGTTATACCAGATTAACGGGAATAATCTCAGCTAACTGACGATACAAACCATTTTTACCAAAACAAAACACAAGTCTCATAAGAAGCATCTAAATGACCCCTGAGCGAAAAATGCTAACGCACTTTGGCACAGAACTCAAGATAAAAGATACCCTTATTACTTATCGTAGCTGCACATACAATATATCCGATTAAAGCTGAGGTTCCACAGATTATTTAGGTATATATATCATCACTAAGTGATCCGAACTCATGACAGGGGAAGCAAACTCAGACATCACAACACGTACCTTTACGTAGCTTTTACGGGAGATCCTCTCACCGTAGCTGTCAATCTGATCAAAAGACTTGTTCAATGGCATTAAAACGAGAAAAAATGCAGCTGAATCGGTCAATCCATAGGTTGATAATGTTTCTGGGTAATAATTGTTTTTATTTATAATCCATAATTCCATTTTTATGTAAAAATCGGAGAGTAAAAGTTAGCTGCTAATGGTAGCCACCAGAGTTATCGCAGCTTCCGGTCTTGGCTATGCGGCAGTCTCACACATTACCAAATAAGGAGTATGTGGGAGTTCCCCTCGATTCCATTGGCTCTGACGGTTAGAAAGAGATGTCAATCAACAAAATCGAACAAGGGCGGCCAGAGATAGGTCAAATCCACCCAAATGACCCCAGAAGTGTTTTTTGGTGCTAAATCTCTCTAAAAAGGTCAAATTTCACTTTGTTTGCATCAATCTTGATACAGGGTACTTATTATATGTTGTAGTTTGGATTCCTAAAGCTTTTAGTCTACCATCCCATCATTCAAGGGTGGTTTTCACTATTAGTAATGTTTTTTTTTTGGACGGACACAATAATTGACATTTTTTTACTGTGTTCAATCTGAATTTACTTTAAAACATCTATATTGATTCTGACACTTCTACATCCAACTCACAGGTGTAACCTTGCTTTGAGAAAAAAGATTATTAATTTAACCCTTTTAGAAGGGAAGATATGGTAATTTGTTCTGGGAATGTCGTTTTTGAGCCTGAGACCTGAAAAACAGGCTCAGGGTTTAACAGGTGAATACATTAATGTAGCCTTTGTTTCTGCTAAAAGAGGTGTCGACTAGCTGGGGCAACAAGAAAATCGGCAAAATCGAGTCTGACTATTAAAAAATAAATCATTATTATATTAATATTGACAATAACAACCGACCGTCGTGGTACAGCATTTGCTTGGCATTTCCGGGTACTTGGGCCATGTTAACAATACCGTGTAACTGTCACGTTTGAAGGGACGAAATCGTGACATCTTCACGTCTCCCAGCATGGTAAATCGTCACATGTTCACGTCTTGCCGTGATACCGGGTTGGCACCATGACATCAAGTCAAATTCCTCGTACGTGTCAACCTACCTGGTAATAAACAGAGATGGCAAAAGTACTCACATCATTTACTCAAGTAGAAGTACAGATACTCATGTTTAAAAATACTCTGGTAAAAGCAGAAGTACTGACTTAAAGATCAAATGCAAAGCTTCCAAATATGCTACATTTTTATAGAAATGTTGTTTTTAAGACTACCTGTATTTAAAAAAAAATGTAAATCGAGATAATACACCCGAAAAAAAGCTTTTTATTGATACAAAACTTGACCCAAAGCCGTCTGAATTTCTGACATGACCTCCCCAGCAGCCTCCGCGCGCGTGACGTCATACATGCCAAACAGTCTCTGGACCAAACATCCCGACTCGGCAGTCTCGGTCACAAGTTTTTCGACAAGAAAACTGAATTAACATGGGTTATTGTTGAGCTTTTTGTTGTACGAACGGTGCGGGATCTGGGAGAGTTTTTCATGTATTTCCCAAAGACAAAATCATCCGCAAAAAATGGATTTTGTTAGTGAATCGTGTTGGCTGGCAACCGACAAAATGGAGCAGGTTGTGTTCTGATCACTTCGTGTGTGATGCATACGACGTTGATCCTGCTATCATCAAGTCTGTTGGTGCAGAAGCATTAATAGCACGTCGGAAGCTGAAACCCGGAGCCGTCCCCTCCACATTTCAGCACAAGAAACCACTGAAAGAACGAAAGAGCCGGGCGATGGAGAAACGACAAAGAATTGAGGTAAACAACTTTTGATTAGATTTCAAAGCGCACGGAGCACAGCAGATAACGCAGATAACGGAATTGCAGTTTTATTGCTTATAGAGGTGGGCACCGTTAGATTCTGTGTCTTTACGATCATAAACAATGTGTTGGATGTGGAGCTAGGATAAGTAATAAGGGAACTAGGAGTGATTTTCGGTGCAGTAAAAGGTTAGCATTTTTCGCTCGGGGCTAATTCACTGTTAGCATTGTAGTTTGTCTGCAGCTCATTCATCGCTCCTCCACTCATAACGGAAAAGTGTGAACAATATGCATTATGATAGGGATTAAAGAAGAATGCTGAGAATGCTGATAATTGGTGTAGATGTGGCAGTTTCCACATCTACACCAATTCTCAGCACCCTCGGCCTCTTCCTCAGATGGCGAACTTGAATCATCACCATCAGCACTTTCATCGTGACGTCAGGTGACGTTTCCTTGTATTTCCTCTTCGACATCAGAGGCTCGTAGAGATAGGGTTGGATGTCGACAACATACTCCAGATATTGGGTGGCCTCCGACTCAGAATCAGACATGATAAGCCGGGTGGAAATATGTTAGGCATTGAACAAATTCCCATCCACCTCGTCCTTGTGAGGTGAGTCCGCCTGGACTTTATTTTTCTAAACCTCTCTAAAAAGGTCAAATTTCACTTGTTTTGCATCAATCTTGATACAGGGTACTTATTATATGTTATAGTTTGGATTCCTAAAGCTTTTAGTCTATAGTCTACTCAGAATCAGACATGATAGACGAAACTAGTTGTACTATCGGCGGAAGCCGCTGTGATTGATAAGCCAGGTGGAAATATGTTTGGCACATCTGACGTCACGCGCCGCCATCTTGCGGAGGAGCGGCGGAGAAAATAAATCGTCGGACTTGGTGTTGGGGGTTGAACAAAATTAATATTGCGCATTGCCAGACTCATATTATCTCCGATTTTAATACTGCAATATCTTAGATAGTGTTGTAGCTATATGATTTCGATTGTACTGGCAATTATACAAAAAGCTTTGCATTTGATCTTTAACTCCTTTACTCAAGTAAAAGTAAAGAAGTATGGGCTTTGAAATGTACTTAAGTAAAAAGCACCCATAACTACTAGCTGTTTTAAAGAGTATCTGACTTCCCTTTATATTAATAAGAACAATAATGTCATTGTTAGCTAATGAATGTTTCCATGCTGAACAATGGCAACATGACAACGTTTCCATTGGTCCCTCTTCTTTAGAGAAGACCAGGAAATGATGGATACACGGATCGTGTTCAAATCAATAGGCACGCAATGACTCTAAATAATAATGATCACGCACCAAACACACATTCAGACTAAAGGAACCAGCTGTTTGGGAAATGAGAGAAGAAGAAAGTACAGGTATTTGAGTTCAACATGTAAGATGTAGAAAGTACAGGTATTTGAGTTCAACATGTAAGAAGTAGAAAGTACAGGTATTTGTGTTCAACATGTAAGAAGTAGAAAGTACAGGTATTTAGGTTCAACATGTAAGAAGTAGAAAGTACAGGTATTTGGGTTCAACATGTAAGAAGTAGAAAGTACAGGTATTTGGGTTCAAAATGAAAGAAGTAGAAAGTACAGGTATTTGAGTTCAACATGTAAGAAGTAGAAAGTACAGGTATTTGGGTTCAAAATGAAAGAAGTAGAAAGTACAGGTATTTGAGTTCAACATGTAAGAAGTAGAAAGTACAGGTATTTGAGTTCAACATGTAAGAAGTAGAACGTACAGGTATTTGGGTTCAACATGTAAGAAGTAGAACGTACAGGTATTTGGGTTCAACATGTAAGAAGTAGAAAGTACAGGTATTTGGGTTCAACATGTAAGAAGTAGAAAGTACAGGTATTTGGGTTCAACATGTAAGAAGTCAAAGTAAAAAGTCGACAGAAAAATAAGTAGTGGAGTAAAGTACTGATACCAGAAAAATGTACTAAAGTAACTAAATATTTGTACTCCACTA